CAGTGGTGGGAGCTGCCGTCCTGCACCCCCCTGGGCAAACTGTGGCTCCATCCCCTGCCCTCCCCTGGCTGGGCGGCACCTGTCCAAGCCTCTGCCCAACTCCCTCCTTCACCACAGGGGGGCATTGATCTGCCTCCCCCCACTCTTCCTTCCCTCTTTCCCCATCCACCACAACAGACTTATCAGCTGGACGCAGCTGTATCAGAAATTGGATTGGTATTGGCTGATACGCCTCCTTAAAAATCAGCTATTGGTATTGGCCCCCCAAATCTCTATCAGTGCACCCCTAAAAGATTCTGTTTGAGTTCAGTCAGAATGCGCACAGTTTCAGGGTTCTCTGTTCAGAGATGCATATGTAGGATTTGGCCCTTAATGCATTTATAATCTTAAATGCATAGATTGCTACTGAATTCCATGAAGCTATTCAGATACGTTCCTGACTAACTTCATTTTTAATGTTTGGACATTATCTTTCAGGCAGGCATAGGCCTAATTGCAGAAGGACACTTAGCTGCTCTGGTACATATTTGTTTGTCTTGCGTGTTTATAAAGAGAATTGACCTTCATAAGTCAAGTGATTGAACAAGCCTCTCTCTTTTTTTTTTCAAGCTCTTGGGGGCAAATGTTCTTTAAATTTAGGTTTGAAGTATAGTCAGTTTGAACTGAATAGGGTGCTTTCACATGTCTGTAACTCTCCCAAATTACAAGTTTTTATATACTATACCACATAGTATATAAAAACTGTCACATTTCCAGGTGTCTATTAGAAAATGTAATATTTCTCTTGGTTGTCTGAATCAATTGAGTTGTTAATAGGCAACTTTAAGGAGTGCTTCCATAATTTAGTTTAAAAATATTTGTGAATCTGGTTTTGAAAGAAAGGAACAGTAAGATAGCACCACTTTGCACAAAGCTTACAGGTATCTTAGTTACACTGGGTGTGTCTACATGTGTGCCTGTTCTATTGTGCATTAAAGCAGTGCATCCAAAACCATGCTAATACGCTAATGTGCAGTACAATAAGCTACTTCGCCTTAAGCGTCACCCCAAAAACCTGAGATTTTGCTACTGCGCATTAATGCAACCTAATGCACATTTATGTAGTACCTTGTATTGGAAGTACTAAATGTAATAGACATCAGGAAAAGCGCATTAATGCACGTGTAGACGTGCCCCCTGATTATCTTGTTGCTGAGTTCCACAAATTGTTTCTTTGCAGTGTCCATGGGGAACCCCCAAAACTACAGTAATATCCTGTTCCCTTGCTGATGTAATGAGTGAACAGTTAGCAAAAGAACTGCAGTTGGAAGAAGAAAACGCTGCTTTTCCTGAAGTTGTTACGTAAGTGAAACACCTTTTAAACTTAAATCTTGAATTAGAAAACTTGATGATTGTTGGGTCGTCATTTTTTTCTGATGTGTAATGTCAAGGTGGGGTTTGTGTGTGTGTGATTACAGCACCGTAGTGAACACTTTCCCTTTTTGTCCCCTTCTCTTGGTTTGTGTGTGCTAGCTCTTTTCTCTAGCATATAAATTGTGAAGATCAGTTCATCAGGGAGATCTCGCATATCTAGTAGATTTGTCCCGAAACTCACCATTGCTTGTTTCTTGACTCTTTCTCATGGAGTTTTAGAAAGGGTTCTTCAGAATATTGTGAGTCTGTGAAGTGTAGTTTGAGGAGTGTTGCTAAAGAGGATCAATGAGAAGTCTTTTAATATACTGAAATATTCCCAAACTGAAACACAGTTTTTCATATTTGTGTTGCTGTAGTGACTAAGAGTCCTCGTCGTAGACCATTCACCACCCCCACAATCCTCAGTGCTTTACAAATACAGAAAAAATTCTGCATCAGAGAGGAGATCCATTTCTGGTTCATCCTTTGAAACAGTAATAAAGCACTGTTTTCCTGGCTGCAATTCTTTCATCTAAAAACCAGAATGTAATTTTTTTTTATTTTTTTTTTTATTTTAAAAATAAAACACAAATGAAGCTTAGGTAACTGTTTGCTAGAAGGACCTGTGAACAGTGAAAACCAAAATCACAACCCCTTTTTTCATGAGTAACTACGGTACAGTTTTTTGGTTTTTTTGGCCTTTAAATCAATCTGTTTTTATGCAGTTCTGTTCTCTTTTCTATCTGGAGTTTAGCAATCAGATGTAAAATAGTTAACTAGATATATTAAACCTTGTGATTGTTCTGTCTTTTTAATTGTATTTAGTGCTGCTGAGGGACCATTTATTACAGGAGAAAACACTGACACTTCCAGTGACCTAATGCTAGCTCAGATGCTGCAAATGGAGTTTGACCGAGAGTATGATGCACAGCTCCGGCGTGAAGAAAAAAAGTTCAATGGAGATAGTAAAGGTATTGTCAAACCAGATGGCTTTTTTTTAGAAAAGCCAGTAAGCTTACTTTATTGCACTTGAGTTGATAAAGGTAGTGAGGATGTGATCATGTCAGTCACAAACTTTCTAACTTTTGTTTCCTAAGTCTCTATATCATTTGAGAACTACCGAAAGGTACATCCTTTTGAAGACAGTGACAGCTCAGAAGATGAGGTCGACTGGCAGGATACCCGTCATGATCCCTATCAAGCAGGTATTGTTCAAAATTACTATATATGCAAAATTGCCCATGACTGGCCAAAATCCTGAAAAACAAAAGCCTTAAATTAGGTTCCCTGAGTCATGTGGCTTTTTTTAATATAGTGCTAGTTACTTGTGAAGGATTTGGGAATCTCCCTCCAGGCTCTGGTTTCTGTCATCACAGCCTCAGCCATTTTAAGAAGGACATATTAAAATTGGTTTATCTAAATTAATTTACTTTTGATTCATAGCCAGTACACACTATGGCGGGGGATGTGGGAGGTTGTCTTTTGTGCTATAGAATCTCTGTGTTGGTTTTAATAACACTATATTTGAGGTTCTGTCTGGACAGTGTTTGCTTGTCATCTGCTACTTACAAAGTATGGAAGAGCTTGCATGTAACATTTACTGTTTTATGATTTCCCAAGTGTGCCAGATGCTGACATCATTCAAAACACAGTAAATTAAACTGAACAAAGAGTTGAATAGGAATATAATATGCCAAGATAGAAGCTAGCATAATATTAATTATATACCCTTTGTTTTCAGTAAAAAAAAAAAAGTGAATATAGCCAAGTTACAAAGGGTCATGATGCCTACAGTAAACACACAAATATTTGTTCATCTAGCGTTTTTTTTTTTTAAACATTATCTGTTGACAGACAAACCGACTACCACTCCAAAAAAGGGCTTTATTGGGAAAGGAAAAGACATTACCACCAAACATGATGAGGTGGTATGCGGGAGGAAGAATACTGCTCGAATGGAAAATGTAAGTGAAAACTTGAGCATTCTGTGCCAGGACCCTTGCCATCCAGGGCTGCCGTGACCCAGGTCAGTGTGCTGTGATCTGGGCACTTGTGTAGATGGTGTGCCAGGGAGTTTCCTGGGAGTAATAAACTGTGGAACACTAAGCTCCACAATTTATTGCTGTGCCTTAATGGCACATGTAGATGCCCCCCACCCTGTTCTTGCAACTTGAGACTATTGCTCCTTGTTCTGTCATCTGCCACCACTGAGAACAGTTTAGCTCCATCTTCTTTGTAAGCACTCTTCAGGTAGCTGAAGGCTGCTATTAAATCCCCTCTGTCTTTTCTTCAGACTAAATGGGTCCCTGCACACGAGCCAGGAGGCTGCTCCAACATGCTGTAACTAGACCTGCTGTAATCAAAGTGCCCACCTGTGGAGCACATGTTAAAATGCCCAATAAGCACAGTTCCTTCAGCCTCTTCTCATAAGTCATGTGCCTCAGCCCCCTAACCATTTTTGTTGTTCTCAGCTGGACTCTCTCCAATGTGTCCCCATACTTTCTGTAGTGTGGGGCCAAAAACTGGATGCAGTACTCTAAATAATTTAATGTTCAGTTTGCCTGTCTGACCAAGCAAGTTATTTCTAATTGCAGAACACTGCCTGGCACTAAGCAGTCTGTTTATCCAGAGCAACAGAAACTTGAAATCTTCAGTTAATGTAGTTGTATTAAAAAAACCTAATAATAAGGCAATATGTGCTATGGCTTTTTTTATTAGATTGAGTGATGTGTAATCTGGTGTGGGCAAAAGCAGTCTGAGCTCTTCTATTAAATTAACTGCTGTTATTGCATAGGTCACTGACTGCACCCATTTTTTCCTGTTCTAATGCTAAGGTGCTACAAAAGATTTCCCTTAGAGTGCACAGTTCTTGAATACTCAGATCAAAAGTTTGTGTGTTTGCTGTATCTTTCTGTCACTTTCCAAGTATAATAATTTTTAAAAACTTTTGATAACATCTGTCCTACAGTTTGCACCAGAATTCCAAGTTGGAGATGGAATTGGAATGGACTTGAAACTATCCAATCAAGTCTTTAATGCTTTAAAGCAACATGCTTACTCTGAGGAACGTCGAAGTGCAAGAGTCCATGAGAAAAAGGAGCACTCTACTGCTGTATGTTTTGATTATAAATTTCCTTTTTAAACACAAAGCTTCCATTTTGTCTGGTATACCATTTTGATAAGCTTTAAAGCATCCTCACTAACCAAGTCAGCAATACTTGACAAGTGGACTGCTGAAGATGTTACTTACTGTGTTATCTGAGTCTTTAATACCCTAAAGCTTAAAGTTGAATGTATTTTTGAAAATCACCTGAAAATATGGGATTAATCCTAGGTGCTTGAAGTGTTCAGTTTCAAATCAATATGTTCTTAGCAAGGCTTCAGGAATATGGGAGTTTAAATAGTACTCTTCACTGGTAACTTGAGAAGCTGGTTTTTCATATACGAATGAAGCAGTTTATTTTAAGCTTGAAGCATGAGTTACCTTAAAATTCTGTATTCTTGACACTGCCACTTACTTTTGTTTAATTAAGTCAACAGTAGTTGTCTTTCTCAATGTCATTGTTATCAGTCTGTAAAAGTGTTACCATTTGCAAATACCTCAGCTTTTGTGAGTTATTTTCTGTATAGCACTAACTGAAACAACAAAAGTACTTATTGTAAGTAATCTAGATAAGGCATTGGCCTTGCATTGCTTTATCTATACTATGTACAATTTAATCATTTATATAAAAAAGCCTTTGGGGGGGAAGGAGTTGTATGCAGCATTTTTCTCTAGATTTAATCATTTTTTTTGTCACCTAATTCAAATGGTAAGATAAGAGTACTTGAGATCTGATATTGAGAAACAGTACTGTGGCCTTGAATGAATATAGGTAGACCAGTCACGTGTTTACTTTATTTCTTCCTTTCCCTGTAGGAGAAAGCAGTAGATCCTAAAACACGTTTACTTCTGTACAAGATGGTCAATTCTGGGATGCTAGAGACCATCACTGGCTGTATTAGCACAGGAAAAGAGTCTGTTGTTTTCCATGCATATGGAGGAAAGTAAGTATATAATCTGTCATTGACACTAACCGTAGTGGTTGGATGTTATAAAAAATAGCTGAAAGCTATAAAAATATTTGAGTGAACTAGGAGGTCTTTCTGTGTGTCTTCAGTTTTTTAAATTTTTTTTTTACATATTTCTCTTGCAGTTAAGAGGTATACAGAAATGAGGATTCATTACAAAAACCAAATAGTACCTTTGTTTAAAAAAAAAATACATAGCAGATGTCCCCATGAGGATCTCATGAAGCCAATACCAAAACTTTTTTTTTTTTCCTTTTTAAAGAAAAAAAGGGGAATAGTATTACATCCAGCCTTGGGGGCTAAATGTCTTGAGTATTTTGGTAGCTAAATATCTTTATGCCAAGAAAGAGTTAATTGCTGGCCTAAAAATTTGTGGCTGCTTAAGTACCAGTGAATATGATCTGCTTTATATTTATTTTGTGTGAACTGGATCTGGCAGCAATCTTCTAAATTATTAAAGCAAGCGTTGCTTAACTATCTGGAAACATGGTTTATCTTGAAACAATTAATGAAACTTGTCTGCAATACATCATTGAAGAAATCCCAATGATTTTACAAACATGAAAAAGTTAAATTGTACAAAAGTGGTAAAAAAGAGACATGAGTACAGGGATTAAACAAAAATAAAATGTTAAGGATATAGGAAGGAAAAGAGCAGTACTGGTAATGAACAGAAGCTTTAAAAAAAAGTACCAACCTTTTAAGGGATGCTAAAATTGCTAATTAAATATTAAGATTAAGACAAATATTTTTAAACATATTAGGAGCAAAAAGTCTGAGTCATACCCATGTCTATAGATGCAGAAATGTTCAATACACTTTCCTTTTCTGTATTTAGGATAAAGTATCAGCATATATCTTTTATAATATCACTAAAGAGAGGCTACCAGGAATAACAAAGTTGGCTATGAAGCAGCATTCGTTTAAGCTAATGGCTTTATTCCTAATAGTTCTGAATCACTTCACCCAAGAGTCTTCAAAAAGTTACTTGAGGATCATTCTAAGTCATTTCAGTGTTAATTAACAAATACTGGAAAGTAAGGGAAGCTTAAATGGATGGGAAAACTGATACAAATATCAGATGTGCACTGATATTTACAGAGACACCCTGGAACTGTAGACATCAGTTCAGGGCAAAATACTGGAATAGTTAATTTGGGATTCTTATCAACAAAGAATTGGAAGCTAAAAATATATTTGGAAACACAGAATTAGAAGGCACAATGTGGTCCCTTGTGCAAAGTGTCTTGCGCCATTTTTTCTCTCAACTAAATGCAGTGGAGGTAATTAATCTTCATCCTAATATGCTGGTTTATGAATAAACAAACAGTATTACAGAACAGTTCCATGTTTATCATAATGTCAATGGCATGTTAAAATGTTAACCTCTTTCTGCTACTTTCTGTCTCCAAGAAAAATCCAAGGTGGGGAAGTGGACTATAAAAAACAAAGCTCTTATCCAGAGGGGTCGAACCTTACTCAGGGGTTGCATTTAACAAAAAGATTAATGCTTAAACATTTATCTCTTCTGTTTTAATCTGGAAGTTCTTAACAAGTGGGTTTAGGTTGCAATGCACTGTAGTTATTGAATTCCCAAAGACTAAATATTAAGGTCCAGCTTTATTAAAGCTTAACCTGAGAGATTTTTAATAGGACATAACTAGAACAGTTTTACAAGCTAAAAACAACTTAATTGTATGGAAAAAAATCTTGTTCCTCCATCCTCTTTGTAAAACATTACAGGGTAACACTGAAAGTCCACTAAATTGTTTGTGCTCAAAAACAAAGATATAGGTTAAATGTTTAATGCTTACTTTTTCTGTTAATCAGAAGTGTAGGTGAAGATGCTAAAGCTATACCTCCAGAGTGTGCCATTAAGGTGTTTAAAACAACCCTTAATGAATTCAAGAATCGTGACAAATACATTAAAGATGACTACAGGTTTAAAGACCGCTTCAGTAAATTGAATCCACGGAAGATTATCCGAATGTGGGCAGAAAAAGAAATGCACAATCTAACAAGGTACAAAAATGGTAGTTAACTATATGCTGTTCATTTTTTTTTTTTTCCTTTTACAGAACTTAGGTTTGATCACTGTGGAAGTGTAGTTTAGATTTGGATGCCTTAATGCAGGGCTGTCAAACTCATCCTGGGCTGGATCCAGACTGCAGGTCTCCTCATGGGCCATCAGCTGCAGCAGTGGTGTAGCTGGTGGTGGTGGCAGTAGTGAAGCAAGTGGTTGCTTGCCAGGCTGTGGTGGCAAGTCTTCTTAGTGTGTGGCATCCTCTTCCCCCCATTCCAACTGCTATGAGGTGATCAGAGCCATGTCAGCACAGCTCTTACTTGTCTTCCTATGCCAATACCCATGTCCAGCAACCTCCGATTCTGCAGCAGGTCCTGCCCCTAAGTTCCCTGCCCTGTACTTTGATACCCTTGTCTTAATTTGTTTGTTTATTATGTTGCATCTTATTATATTTATTTTAATTCCTAAAGTTGGAGATTTGAAAAGTATTCATTCCCTCAGTCCTTAATGCAGTGCTCAGGCTGTGGTGGCAAGGCTTCTTAGTGTGTGACATCCTCTTCTCCCCATTCCAACAGCTATGAGGTGATCAGAGCCATGTCAGCACAGCTCTCACTCGCAACCTGGTCTAAACTGGATACCATATTTACTTGAATCTAAGTTGACCCTGAATTTAAGACAACCCCTCAATTATTTAGATTCTATATATAGAAAATGTACAGGTTTTTTTTAATGATAACGTTCCAGGTATAGAATCTAATTTTTGGAGGGTAGTCTTTACATTTGTCTTGTCCCGTCTTCCCCGACCCACTGCTACAGAAGGAAAAGCAGTGGGGGGGGCGGGCGGTCAGGAGGCCCCCTTGCTCTCTGTCCCTTTCCCCAGTCTCTGCCTCTGCCTCTTCCCCTTCCCACTTACTTTCAGACACTGCTTGGGCTGTGTTCTCTCCCAGAGCACAGCATAAGAAAGTGAACCAGAGTTAAGAGTGGCAGCAACTGCCTGCCCCTGCCTCTGCTTTGTATGCAAATATAAGATGATAGGCTGTCCCCTACATGCTGATTGGGGAGAAAAAACATCTTAGATATGAGTAAATACTGTAAGCAGTTTAAAAAGAATTCTAATGGATACAAGTGTTGATAACTCAAGAGGTCGAGGGGCTAATTATTAGTATTTTTTGGCAAGTATGATTTGTAGTTAGTAATTATAATCCATATTTTTTCTGCTCTACAGAATGCAGAATGCAGGAATCCCTTGTCCCCAAGTGGTTATCCTTAAGAAACATGTCTTGGTCATGTCTTTCATTGGCTGTGATCAAGTCCCAGCTCCTAAACTGAAGGAAGTAAAACTTGGTAGTGAAGACATGAAAAAGGCCTACTATCAAATTCTTAATGTAAGATGTCAATGTGTATCTTTTCGATTTTGGCAAGAGTTTTCTTTCAGGGGAATAATTTAGACTAAATGGTAGCATACTGGTTCTTAGAAAAGAGATCTTCCAGGCCAGCAGTCCAAGTACTGAGAGAAGCATCTAAAGTCCACTTAATTTCCTGGTGCTACATAAAATACTATGTTAAGTTGTAGTATAGCATTTAACTTGGGATGGGAAGAGGGATGAAAATAACAAAGGTGGGTTAAATGTCATTTTGGTTTAAAAAAAAAAAAAATCAAAATATCCAAAAAATCTCTGAAGCCCTTTGTGTAATTACTTTTGTGTCAACCAGTCTTGTATACCCATTAATACGAGTGCTTAAGAATCATCACCTTCAATTTGCAACTGAAAATATCGAACTGGTTATCCCCAACCACAGTGCATTTGATCTGACAGATGGCTCTGTATACGTGCCCTTATGGTTTATTATATGAATGCAGAAAAATCATAAAAAGATGAACATAAACTCAGTATTCCCTTGAGACTTGCAGAGCAACATCATTGGCATTTTAACGGACTATATTGGGTACTTTTCAGTACATACAACAAGGATGGCATCCTCCTTTTAGGAACTCAACATTATGTAAATGAATGAGTAACAAGGTTGAACCTGGGGTTTACTACTTTTCAGTGTTCTGAAGCTTGATTTAGCTTATTTTTGGTAACTTCATTATATTATCACTTAGACTGGCTGAAAACTCTTCTGTGAGATCTCTTATGTGCTAGAAGGGTGTATTTGGAAAACCCTCTGCTGCTATCTGACTAATGCAGTTGGACTGGTTGGCAGAGTTTTTAGATAAGCTCACTAGCGTTAAATGCTTCTTTATCATGACTGACTTGAGTGTTAGCACTTAATTCTATTTTGTGGAAAATTCCCCATATTCATTTGACTGCAGGTGGACTTCAAATATGAATTAAAAGCCTGCTTTGCCCTGGTTTTAGGCTGATTTTTAACTTGCTTGTATCGATATTCTGCATCTAACTGATATATCTGTCTGACATATTGTAGATGATGCAGCAGTTGTATAAAGAGTGTAATCTGGTCCATGCTGACCTGAGTGAGTACAACATGCTATGGCATGATGGCAAGGTGAGTATATTCTTACTGCAACAGGAGAGTTTGCATGTAATGTGAAATGTTTGTGCCTTAAAAGAACCTGTCTGTTTTCTCTGTTGCTAGGTCTGGTTAATTGATGTAAGTCAATCTGTGGAGCCAACACATCCTCATGGACTTGACTTCTTGTTCAGAGACTGCAGGAATGTTTCTCAGGTAGTACTTGTTACCTGATCTCTGCAATCCCACCCCCATCCTTCCCCCACACAGAGACCCATTTGAAAGGTTACTAGGAGAAAATACTAGCATCAAAGTTTGATATACAAAGTTGATTTAAAAAAAGAAGTCACATTCATGTTTTAAGGGTTCTCCTGCCCCGACTGGGCAGTGCCTACCCCTGCCACAACCCCGGCCCCACTCCCTTCCCTTACCTCGGGGCCTCCATCTGCTTCCCCTACCATGCCCCATCCCTTCCCCCACAACACACTTACCAGACCAACGCTGCTCTTCTGATTGCTGATATGCAGCCCAGCAGCTTGATCACTATCTACCGATATGACTCATTAAAAATTGGTCATCGGTATTGGCCCAACAAATCTCTATCGGTGCACCCTTGGATACCTCAGTGCTCTAAAACAGCTTGGCCACTTCTGCCATGATGAAGCAGCCATCGCATCTCTGATCAGCATTCTAACTTACTAGGACAGGGGGCTAATTTTATAGGGCAGC